GACAGGGATCTAAGGTACACAGGCAGAATCACCTGTCAAAATTCATTGACTTGTACATTTCACGTTTGCAAATCTTATCTCACACACACTCACACACACACATATTGAATGCCAGTTGATTATACTTCTGCTGAAGTGTTTAGTGAAGTCTTCAACTTGTTTTAAGTAACCGTTTTATTTTTAAAAATGAATTGATGGATGGATGGATGGATGGATATATGATAAAGCAAGTATAGCAAAACAGTAACTGCAGAATTTAGGTGGTAGGCATATGAATGTTTTTTCTATTTGAAGAGTTTCTTAATCTTTGTAAGGTAAATTTACATATAATTTTAAAACATGAAAGATGTACTAACAAAGTGTAAGTCTAATGATATATCTATTTTAGTTGAAATTTGGGGGGGGTAACTTGGGTGGTATTTTTTGTTTGGCTTTCCACTACTTACAAAGCAAGTGAAAACTAAAAATAAGATAAATTCAAAGTATAGTTACTAGTTCAATCAATTTAAGATATATAAAAATATACTGAATCAATTTCTCAAAATCATATGCAAAGATTTAGCATGACCATTAACATTTAATTAGGCTGTGTATCTTAAGAATTTACTTTTTTGTATTTGTTAAGTATGACACCCATATTTCCACTCATTATTTTTAACTATTTACTATCAAATTCATCATCAAATACTTAATTGATTTTGAGAATTTGTGATTTTTAACATTTGAAAAAATATATTATGATAGTTAGACATGGTACATTTAGTATCTATTATAAACAATTATTTAAATAAAATATACTTCAATTGTGCCTCATCAAAAAATTTTACCTCAGTGGTACGGAATTCTTAGTCTTATGGCACATAAAGAATACACAGAGCAGTACAATGTATTACCCTGTATTTAAAAGAGTATGTATTAACAAAGCATTTAACCACCATCATCTACAGTATATATTAAATACAATTTATCACACTATAAATTATTTAAACATGTCTATTTAAAATTTGACATTACTCTAAAAGAAGGCACATGGAAAATAATTCATTGTCTAAACATTTTCACATAAGTAAAGATACAATAGGGTAGAGTAAAATCTTTCAAAAATGAAGTAAAACCAAGTTTATGTCTCATACAAAAAAACAAAGTACTTAATTTGAATATTTAAGAAATCTAATGGCATTTTTTTTCAATTTTTTTAAAAAAGATTTTACTTATTTATTTGACAGAGAGAGACAGAGCACAAATAAACAGAGAGGCAGGCAGAAGCAGAGAGAGAAAGACACTCCCTGCTGAGCAGAGAGCCCAACATGGGGTTCGATTCCAGGACCTGGGGATCATGATCCGAGCCAAAAGCAGACGCTTAACTGACAGAGCCACTCAGGTGCCCCTCTAACAGCATTTTTTTTTTTTGACTTTCATAGGTCAATTTATTTGTATTCCATTTCAACTATAAAAGCTAAGAAGTCTCACACATTTATAACTGGCTCTAACAACATTTTTAGCAATGAAAAAGCTTCATTAATTTTTTCAGGATGCCATTATAAATTGTACCTAGTTTAAAAGAAAATCAAGTTGCAGAAATAACAATGTGTTGTAGAAGTTCACATGGATAAGATAGGAAGGTGGCAAAAATAACGTATCTTGGATGAAATAATATTTTGCCTTAGCTTATTTTTCAAAGTTAATACTCTTTTACAGAATCAAGTCTACATTTTAAAGATAAAATCACTCTTCCCTATGTTTTCTTTTTTTTTTTTTTTTTAAAGATTTTATTTATTTATTTGAAAGAGAGGCAGTGAGAGAGAGCATGAGCGAGGAGAAGGTCAGAGGGAGAAACAGACTCCCTGTGGAGCCGGGAGCCCGATGCGGGACTCGATTCCGGGACTCCGAGATCATGACCTGAGCTGAAAGCAGTCGTCCAACCAACTGAGCCACCCAGGCGTCCCTTCCCTATGTTTTCTGACATTACATTTCATAGGTAAAGCTCATGGCATTTAAATTTCTGCAAATTAAAATTAAATAAGATTGACTTGGAAAAAATGGGGGCAGTAAACTCCCTGAAATAAGTACAATTCTGGTAGTTAAACATATGCAAAAATAAAGTTTTTTATTCTACTCAGTCCCTAAATGCTAAGGAATCTGTCACCTGATGCAACCAAAGAAACAATAATCGTGAACAACGCTGGAGGGGAAAATGACGGTAGAAGACTATGTTTACTCTATCTTACGGAAAGCAAAAAAACTTTCAAGGGCAATCTCTTATGTACATTTTTACCTTCCACATTGATTTTAGAACCTAACCACATAAATGTGTGTTGTACTTTTTTTGAACACAGAAATCTCCTAGAAACATCCCATGGAATTCTTGTTCCACAGAACAGAGTTTGGAAAACTGATGTAGCCGCACAAAGTCAACATTCAAATTGAACATTCACATCAATTCTGAGGAGTAGCATGCTGAGGTTATAATATGAATTCCATTACATAGTAGTAATTTGCTTTCAATCATTTCATAAAGTTAAAACTGACTACTTCAAGGATGTATTTACTAGAATTATATTGTAAAAACATTAAATTAGACTATAAGATTCTAATCTCGACCAGTGTTTAGGCTCAAAGAAATGTCGTAACAAAAAGATGAAAACTACCAAATACAGATATAATATTATATAGTCAAGGCATTTTTATAATAAAATATTTAACTCTAATAGCAGATATAAAATGCCAATTAAATTAAGCAATTAACAAGCTAAAATAGTACCAGAAAGTCCATTTTATTTTTATTCTATTTCAATATCCATAACCTAAATTCTGGATTTAATTTCCTCTCACTAAATGCCCATCCCATAAATGCTATTATAACACTAATTCAGAACTCTAATTTATATCCTTCTAATAATCAAAAGCCTCCAATGACTTCCCATTGTACATTCAACTGTAATTATTTAAAAACAGCATTCAGTGTAATCCATAATGTGGCACCAACCAACTTCCAAACTGATGTCCCTCAATTCATCTTCACCTATGTCTCTTTTCAGTACATTTTTTCTGAGACTCTAGTTAGGCACCTACCTATATTGCAAATACTCTGTTCTAATGGTTTTCAAGCATTAGCTTGCATCAGAATCTCTGAAGGGTTTATTAAGACAGACTGCTGGACTACACCTCCAGAGTTTCTGATTCAAAAGGAATGGATTTACATTCGTCAAAAAGTTCTCAAGTGATGTTGATGTTACCGGTCAGCTCTACTCTTGGTGAACCATTCCTCTACTCCAAAGACCACAAACTGGAAGCCCACTGGCTGAACGAGGCCCATTCACATGCATGTAGTGTTTTTAAAACATTCTGAATTATTTGCAAACATTTTTAAGTTGAAAAATTTCGCATAAAAATGCAGACTTCTGGCTTACTCCTACATGTAAAAAATCTGCTGGAGCTAAATAGTAGCTACTTATTTAACCCTAGTATACAGGTAACAAAGGCTTAATTGGCCCTGCCACACCCACTTAATATCACCTGGCCTACCACTGTATTTGTGCTTGTACACCCTGATTCACTGTTCCCCATTCTCTGTGCCTTTTTCCACATTGCTCCCTCTGACTTAAACATCCTTTTCCACTATATTGAAATTCTGAAATTCTATCTACTCCATTCTAAAGCTTAGCTTAAAAAAATCCTTCCTCAACAAAGCACCAGCAAAAATGGAATATACATATTGAAGATTTAACTTAAATTTAATGTGTGCTTAAGAATTGAGATTTTATTTATTTCTGCAAATACTAAAATAGCAATATTTATAATAGTATTAGATTAAATCATAACTATTTTTTGCTATTTCTATGTAAAATTTTAATTTTGTTCATTAAAACATTTTTACTGTGACTTTTACTGTAAAATAAATGTCTTTCAGAATAAGATATTAAAAATAAATTAAGAGGGGCGTCTGGGTGGCTCAGTGGGTTAAGCCGCTGCCTTCGGCTCAGGTCATGATCTCAGGGTCCTGGGATCGAGTCCCGCATCGGGCTCTCTGCTCAGCAGGGAGCCTGCTTCCCTCTCTCTCTCTCTCTGCCTGCCTCTCCATCTACTTGTGATCTCTGTCTGTCAAATAAATAAATAAAATCTTAAAAAAAAAAAAAAATTAAGACATTCAATCTTGGGGCGCCTGGGTGGCTGAGTGGGTTAAGCCTCTGCCTTCGGCTCGGGTCATGATCTCAGGGTCCTGGGATCGAGCCCCTCATCGGGCTCTCTGCTCGGCAGGGAGCCTGCTTCTCCCTCTCTGCCTGCCTCTCTGCCTACTTGTGATCTCTGTCTGTCAAATAAATAAAATCTTAAAAAAAAAAAAAGACATTTAATCTTATAGCCAAAATGTAACTGTTCTAAGAGAACATTTATTTTGCTGGACAAGAAAGGAAAGAAGGTTGGGGTTAATTGATACAAGTTCCCTGGTTCTGTAACCTAAGAATCTTTAAAAGCAATTGTAATGAAATAAACACTTCCATAATTTTTTCATAAGGAAGACATTTTAGTGGATTTTTACTTCTATGGAATAGCGGTGGGGGGGACGGACTACAAAGAAACAAATCTGAGTACTGGTCCTTATTCTGCCATAAACAGCTTTGTTATACCAAATCACTAAGCTCTCCCTGGACCTCAGTTTCATTACCTCTGAATCGAAGAGGTAGAAAAAAAGTGATTTCCAAGTACCTTTCATCTGTAAAATCCTATCACTTCTTCAAAAACAGAAAAGCATAAAAATCAATGTTTTATAGGCAAGCTTCTGTTAATCAGGCTAGTATTGCTCCTAAATTAGACTGACTTAAACACCTTGAACTATAGCTTTCAAAGCTCTAATTTAAAATGTCAAAGACTCAGAACTTTGAAAAAAATACATGTTTGTATATCTATTTATGTGTGCTAATTTAATGATCAAAATAAGAAATCTTTTCTAAAGCCAACAATCGAACTTCTTAGAAAAAAACCGAAGACAAAATATATATATAATCATGCCAACCAATCAATAAATTTTAATATATCTCAAAAGAAAATTAAATAATTAGAAAATCATGTCAAAAAAGGTTTTTTCACAATTGAGATTAACGCACTTTTAAGAGTATGTATTCTGCTCCCAAATGAAAGTAATTTGGTCAAAATTAAAATCATCAAATTCCAAGACTGAAAAAAAATATTAGAGACTATTATATTCAGGTAGATCATGCCGTAAGCGAACTGCTTTCAGCTTCTCCACTTCAATTTTTGCTCTTAGAAGCTCTTCCTCTAGCTGCTGCCTTCTTTTCAATCCATCCCTCTTCTCCTGAACATACAATCCAAAATTTTTTTGATTTTCTAAAATTATCTGATGCTCCTCTTTCAGCATTTGCAGAATCTGAGGATCATACCCTAATTGTGACCTAAAGTGTTCTCCACGCTCATGCCGAAAAAAATCATCTCTCCTTGGGATAGAAGATGGAGACGATGTCATTCTCATATCAACAGAGGAAAGTGACGGCGACAAAGATCTCTCCATAACATGTACTAATTCATGGTCTTCTCTTTGTTCTAAAATATCACTCTGTTGAGAACTTAAAACCAGTGGAGGAGGGGGCTTAATGTCTTCTTCTTGCTTCACCTCCACTGTAATAGCAACTGGATGGTGATCCAACATTACCTGTAGTGAACTCGTACCAGCCTGTGCTTCCTCATCCAAGTTTGCACTACAGCACACAAAAAAGCATTGTAAAATGTAAATCAAATGAAGACAAGAGTATATTTATAGCATAATTTCATATTTTGTATACATCAAAGTGTCAAGCTTTAGAGCTATAAAGAAAATTGTGAAACAAAAAAAATTTAATCCTTGTAATTTGGAATAACAAATTAAGTAACTATATTTAAAACTTCAAAAATATATACATACAGCTCTTAACCATCCTTAACTTTAAAAATGAGTTCTTAAAAGAACAAAAAATTACAAATATTACCCAAGGCCAATGAAGTAAATAAAAAGAAAAGCCTTTGTTAATGCCTTCAAAGAAGACAGCATATATTCCTACTAGCCTGATATTCTTAAATGGTTTAAAGGGCCATTTACTACACTTTGGGTCTGCTATCCTCACACCTTAGCCCTAGATCCCCTGCATCTGCTCTCCTAGACTGATTAAAAATCTAAAAATCACCAAGGTCTATGACTTCTAGGAGAGTGGATAGTCATCTATGGGAGGTACTGATTTCAACATCTGTCCAAAAAAAGAAAAATAAAAATCAAGTTTTTGTATGGCTTTGGATACATAGTCCCAACTATCAGGGTATTATCCTAATATGCAATTCAGATACCATGGCAGTTATCCTTTACCCATTCTAAACCACTTGATTCTACTGCCCTTTCAGTCTTTCAACCATAGTCAGGTAAAGTTCACAGGGAAAGGGCTCAAATCCACCACTCTAGCCCCAACACCTAGCATAATATACTGTACTTGGAACCTCATAGGTGCTCATCACATGTTGAATGACTGAAAAAAATGTTTTTTTTTTTTAAATGAAGTATTTTTAACTGGCTTATAGACTATATATTGAAAGTCTGTTAAATTTACAAGTAATTTCCATAAAATATACACTTCTTTTAGAGAAAACTAGTTTCAGCATAATTTAAACTTTATGGGTTATGACATTATGGGTTATGACGTAACATTATGGGTTATGACATAACATTATGGGTTATGACATAAACACAATGTATCTTAAAATTCTACTTTTTAAAAAAAGAATTTCATAAATAACATGAAGCTACTAATTAAGAATATATAATCTTGTTTCTTGAGGGTTTTCTTTAAATTTATGCTTCTGCCTAACTCAAAAGTAAGTTATAGAGGGAAAGAGATTATTGGAACATTAATGAAAAAAATGCTATACTTAACATTAAAGAACATTTTACAAATGATAAATAAGTAACAGTTAAAAATACATTCATTCTACATAGATGATTAAAATGCTGGAACAAGTTCAAGCAGAACAAAAGGAAAAAAATCAAAACTCCCTATATATCACTTACTACTGGCATTAAATTGCCAAAAAATCAGACATTTATGAGATAACAAAAAATAATGATATATTATGAAAAATCTATTTGTAGATTACATAAATTCCTTAATTTCCATTCTTTTTGTCATCTTACTCTTTTCAAAAGAAAAATAATAGAGTATCAATGTAATTCAAAGTAGAAAGGTTTCCCTTTATTAACATCTCTAAAACCTGGAAAGGAAAAAGTTAAAACTACAAATGAAAATTAAAGTTTTAAAAATCTACATAATTACTATCCAAATTAGTATGTACAATGAAGTATAAGACTCACTATTAGACATAGACATTACACTCCCATGTAAATTTTAAAATGCTTTTTATCTGAAGTATCCCAATCTATTTTCAATGAAACATTACAAGTAGGCATAACAAAGTAAAAAATAAAAAAATTGTTTTAGAGACGGTCACAAAAAAGGATAAACAGAAGGACTTCTAAAATTTATGTATTTTGAAGATCAAACAGACTCCAAAAACACATAATATAATCTGATACTAGAGAGAGGTAAAAATGAAGACCTATATCAATGCACTATAGAGGCAGCCTTACAAAATAGGTATATATCTTTAAATACGTTAAATACAGTAATATTTCCTTAGTAAGAATGGAGAGTTTGGTGAGATTAACAGGCGTATTTATATAGAAGCATAATTAAGATTATCAACTATAAACTTCTGAGAATTAAGATTCAAGATGATGTCAATCAAATAAGTAATAAGTACATTAAATATGTAAATAAATGAAAATGCTAATATAGAGAAAATGGCAATTTGGACCCTAACACAAATAAGCATTTAAGCAGCCTATTTCTAGTATTCTTCCCTTTAAAGTATGAAAAGTTGCTCTTGCTTAAAGAGCAGGTTTTGTGATGTATAAACTAAGTAACTCATTTTATCAGGGCAATGTTGTTATCCCAAAAGGCTGATTGTAAATATGGTTACAAATAGTCAAAATGTAAACAGATACTTGTATATTATTTCTCTTCTATACTCACTGTATTTTAAAATATACAACTAATTAAAATTACAATGTCTCTGTATAGTTTTCAAATTATAAAAGCCTATACTTAATGCCCTAAGGGAGTTTTATACCTGTAATGCAAAAGTCACTTTTCTCTATGATTTGAGGAGGACACATTTTTAATGAGTAGTACTGTATAAAAGTTGTATTGTGGAGTTTTCTGGAAACCCAGCAAATAAGGATTTAATTGTTTCTCATCACAGAGAACATTTTTGGCACTGATGAATTAATATACTATATCCAAGTTCCAGATTCCCACTGGTGATTTTTTTTTTACTCTGTTATCTACTAGAAGTAAGCAGTATATGGTAAGAAACTGGTCACAAAAAAATTATCCTAGTAAATTATAAAAATAACTAATAAGTTTGGCTAAAAAGTTTTTCTCTTCTCTTTCTCTCCTAACTTCAAAAGGATTTCACAGGTAATCAATAATTTTTCTTATATAATGACTCTTCCACGAAGAAGAAAACATTGTAAACGTTTGTTTGAAATATCCCTTGACTAACAAGTTTACAACTTGTTTAAAATAACCCTAAATGGTTCAGAAAAAGAATGCAGCTGCCATTTTTATCTTTTGCCAGGGGTTAAAATCTGAATTAGTAATAAGTTTGGAAGATTCCCAGGCAAGTAGTTATGTAGGGCATAAATTTAACAAAACAAACAAACAAACAAAAACTTTCTAACCCTATAAGAACTTAGTTGCTTATTCATATATTAAAATTCATAGTTTCATATCTTTGCAAAATAGTATGGGAGAGCTTACCCCTTTCCTGTATGACTAAGATCAAAGTGAAACTAGACCATTAATGAATAAAAACAACAAAAACTTTTTATTAAGTAATCTGAATCCCTAATGAAGCATTAAATTCCTTTCCTTCTATTTATCTTTTTCACTTTGAATATGCTGGAAAATAATTTAAACTGTCTAAATATATACAATGATGCCATTAATAAATGTACTAAATTATTGATTTTAGGTTTTTAGCTCAGTTAATATTCATTAAGTGTAGACAGTAACAATTCATTAAAAAGACAAGGGTGCCATTTCTCCTGAAACTGCTAACTTTACATAAAATTGAAAATTCCAGTGAAATATAATCTTAAATGAAATAAGAAAAAGATATCTCTCAAAAGCTAATTAGCAATTTAAATTTAAAGCTTAAAAAGTTTATTATGAGAGTATGTTACAAATTTCATCCCATTTATTCCTCCCTAACCTTTACTTTTAAAAACTACAGAGAGAGAAAAGGGGGAGGGGAAGACAATAAAAAGTGGCTTAAATCAAATGCAGCAGAAAAATTCCTCATAGCCTCACATTTCTTTTTTTAAAAAAGCAAAACAAAGACACTATTCATTGCTCCCGTAGTGGGGATGCTTACTATGCATATCTCTATCACAACTAAGCCAGAGCCCAATAGATAGGAGGCGCCATAATTTTCCACAAGAAAATAAAATAAAGCTTACCTTTGTATGTGGTTCCTGTCTCTTACCAGGCAAAAACTGGAAATCTGGGGAATCATCTCCATAACTTTCTTGGTTGGCTCAGAAATATTGCCTTTAAAATCTGATTGGGTCTCTTTTTGCTGCAATAGCTCCTGTTTGGCATATTCTTTGAGCCTTTTGTAAAGGGTGCGTAGGCCCTGGGCTGTTCGAGGAGGGCGATCTACTCCAATTGCATTATAGTTTACAGCTATGATATCCCAACATCTATTCTTTTCCACTATTACTGAATGTTTATTAGTGTGTTCTTCGAGAATTTTAACATATGGCTTCACAAGCTTTAGCAAATCAAGCTTTTCAGATAAGGTAAAATTGGAAGATCTAGCCTTTCCTACCATTGTTCTTTTCAAATTAAGTAGGCAGTTTCTGAAACCACCATGCAGCAGCCTTCAGCTCTGCTCAGCTCTTTTCACAAACAGAAAAAGATCAGGCTTAACTAGGCTAGCCTCATTTAGGCCCACGCCTACAGGGGAGGGTTTATTAAAATTCCTCCAGCTTAAGCTGACGCAGGTTCAGGAAATCTGCTTAAGCCAAGCCTGACCTACATAAAGCTTCTCACTGAAGAAGACAGGAAGGCACAAGCAAAACACACTTGTGTATAAAGAGAACAGCTCGAGATAGGATTTAATACACAAAGGTCTAGAGATAAACATGGAACACAGCTAAAATTTAGCTAATTTAGTGAGAATATCCAATTTTCACACATGTATGCCTAGCTGATAGACTGAAACTGCATTGCAGTATCACTTTAATAAAAACAAAAGAGGAACTGTTTTGTGCTATTTGTTTACAAATCCAGTAGACAGGAAAATGAAAAACTAAAGATATGAGTGATGAATGTAATGATTCCTAACAGAGCCCCTAATCACTGTTTTCTGAGCTGCTGTTCTCTCTTACCAAATCTGCATAATGCTGGTCCTGCTGTCAATCAGGAATTGCATATCCTCTAGCTAGTTAGGTTACACCCAGACTCAGACTTCACAGTAAAGCTAAGCTTCTCCTTCATTTCACAGTCTACGGTAGCCACATTTTTTTCAGTTACTTAGGAAAAAAAATTTGTTCTGAAAAGCAGATAAAAATTATGTTTTTAGCAAGGGATTATTCTAGCTATAATGTATGTGAATATGCTAGTCTCCTTTATCATGTGTAAAAAACACCATTCACAGTGAGAACAGAATAATCATGCCTTAAGACTGTACACACACACAAAAAAAATGGCATTTGCTATTATTAAAGAGCAGGATTTTTATTTAGCTATATTCATACAATTTGGACTATTTTAAAAATGAGACACCAGGCTCAAAATGGAGTCACTCATGCCAAGTCCCACTTCACCTGAGACTTAATTAGTTTTGACTCTCCCAAAAGTGGAATCTTAAACCAGTTAATCAAGAACTACATGATCAGCCCTAGTGAGGTAATCTGCCCAACAAACTCCATCTCCTAAAGGAACACGAACACAACCAACCCACTTTTTGCCTGGATAATTTCCTTGCGCCCACTCACTTCTGCCTATGGAAGTCATACGTTTTGTAGAGCTCCTTTCTACCTGTTAAATGGGATGCTGCCCAATTCACAAATCACTGAATAAATCCAGTAAAATCACAATTTACTCCACTAAATTTTGTTTTTTAACAAAAGTAAACAGCTAGTCTAGCCATTTACAAGGCCACCAGTTTGCAAACTTAGAATGTATTTTCTAATTCCTGTCTGAAAAAATAAATGTATGCATAACAATATGTAACAATGTAACATAAACAAGGTTTAAAAAAAAAGCCTATTTTCTTCTCATACACAGTGTAGGGCAGGCCCACAAAAATGGGCCACTTTGGCAAGAAGATTACTTTGGGTTCAAAGCAATCAAAATCCAGCAGATTCAGGAAAAGCTTTTAACCTTCCCCCACAACTGCCTAAATTTTACATTGGAAAGGAGCCTGTACCAGGAAGAATGCTAAAAGCAACTGCTCCTTACTTAAGAAACATATCTACTGTATCTCTGTAACAGGGCAACCTTTGTTTTCCATACATATACCCTCACCTTCCTGCTAAAGGTCTTGCTCCCCCTTGTAGCCTAATACTCCTAAACCCTCCCCTTAGCTCAGGATGTCATATCAGCCTCAAGTTCCCTGTCTTTGGAATCTCATGTTTGTGTGGATTCCCTGTATATACAAAACTAAATTTGATTCTCTCCTGTTACTCTGTCTCATGCCAATTTAATTCTTAGTCCAGCTAAAAAGACCTTGAAGGGCAGAGGATATTTCTTCCTCCCTAACATAGTCTTTAAACAGTTTTAGTGCTCAGTAAATTGCAGAAAATAAAAATGCAAATGATGTTTGTCCATAGAGATGCAAAATGAAAACTGACCAACCCCAATAACCTGACTCAAGTTACTCAAAGGAAAGCAAGAACACAGGATATATACTGTCTTTAGATAATACTTTGTTATTTTTGGAATAAATAACTGGTATTATATTAAAAATGAAATACTAGTAAAAATATGAAAAACCATTAAATCTCACTAATTATCAAAAAGGTATACTAAAAGTGATTTTCATCCACAAAGATTGGCAAAATTCTTAAGGACTGAATATGTCAAGTGGATTATGGTGCAGGGCAAAGTTCTCTTTGGTACTATTCATGGGAGTGTAAAATGGCATTTTGGATTGCGGTCTGAGAGTATTAATATTTTGCATGTGTAAAATCTTCTAAAATAGCAGTAATTTTACTTCTCAGAATCTAACTTAGAAAAATATTTAAATACAAGGAAGAACAGAGCATTCTATGAAGCTGCATAGTATTGATAGCAATCTAAGAGCACATCAGGTGGGGACAATTAAACTCACTAGCATATACCCATACTATGGTCTACTCCAAGCAGCACTAAAATAATAGAGGCAGATTTCTATGTATTGATAGAACAAGCTCCAAAACACATGGCAGATGAAGTGAGCAAGTAAAAGAAAAATACACACAAATATAATGCCATTATGTTTACCAAAAACACCCAAAGCTAAATATTTCTGTAGGTACAAGAAAAAACATACAAAGGTACAAAATGTAGGTAGGTACAAACATATGTATGAAAACGCACTCCCAAAACATCTGGAACTCCATTATCCTAATACGGTAGTGCTAATTAAAGAAAACCACAGGCCCTAAACAGTGTCACGAAGACCAAGTTCCCAAATTGGGGCTTGATACCCAAACTAATTGCAGTTTCAAACTCCCCCAAAAATTTCAGTCAGGAAATTTTTCTTTCCACCAGTGCCAGTGAGTCTGTCATCTGGGTCCTCTCTCCCCTAAAGAAATATGAGGTACTTTCCATAAGACCCATTCCCATAGAAAACAGCCTTCTCAATCCTTTTCTTTTGCTAGTAACTTTCTTGCCCCACCCTCCTAAAAAAAACCTTCCATTTTATACAATGACTTGGAGTGCTTCTCTCCAACTTGCTAGGAGGTAGTGCCCAATCCATAAATTCTTTAATAAAACCAATTAAATCTTCAAACTTACTTGGCCAAATTTTGTTCTTTAGCAGTAACCAAGAGCCATGTCTGGCTACTGAGTGTTTTATATGTGGTTAATGGAACTTGGGGGTTAAATTTTAACTTTTATTGAATTTTAATTAAGGTAAACTTGAAATTTTTAAACTGAACAGCAAGCTTTACTGTTTTGGTAGGATTACTGATCACATACGATACTAGTCTTCCTAGTATTATCAACAAGATCATCCCCTTTGACTAAACTTCAGTCAGGCTGCTCAGCCCTCTTCTCAACTAGGTTCTGGCCTTGGCCTAGGCAACATGCCAGGCCCAGATGTGGCAAGAAACTACTCTGGATCCCTAACCAAATCCCTCACTACCTCCACCCTGATCCACTCACTCTCTTATCCCGCCCACTGGCTATAAAACCCTATTGTATTGGGAGTTAAATTCAATCTCTACCCTCTATAGCAATATTTTGAATAAAGTCTTCTTGCCTATTTTACTTGTCTAATGCAATTTTTCTTTGACATTACAAATAATCACATCACCAGTGTAGTCAATCTTTTTCTTTCTTTCTTTTTTCTTTTTTCAAGTAATGTCTACATCCAACGTGGGGCTTGAACTCATGACCCCAAAGATCAAGAGTCTACCAACTGAGCCAGCCAGGCACCCCTCTACCAGTGTAGTCAATCTTAACAAACTGATTCCATCTGAATGATTTTTTTCCTATGCACTGACATAACATTTAATGGACTTGTTTGAATACTTTATGTAGACAGTACAAATTACAATGATACGTTGTATAAACTGTAACTGATTATTAATCTGAAATACTACAATTTTAATTGCATTACAGTTAAATTATTTTTCTAGCCAAAAAAAGGAGAATGGACAAATTCTTTAATATAAGAAAATATACTACTGATGCAGAATCAAGTGGAGATGCATAAAATAGTACTCTTAATAGAACAATGAAGAAAAAAAAGACTGAACTAAGTCATTATCACAAATTTCACATAAACATTACAAAACAATTTGATACAGGAGAAGAAGAATAAACTGTTCACTGTGTAAAAGAATTTTAAAGGTTATACACTAGACAATATTAGGAGACATAGTCAACAAATACATAGTGAATCTAACAAGAAGTTTCCTCTCAGCAAGAATGGATGAGGTTTAGTCACCTCAAGTCAGAATTAAATATCCAGAAATATTTTTAAATAATATGTAATAAGGTCTGAGCCTACAACTTTGGCCTGCCATAAAATGGCTTGGTTTCTTGCACAAAAAAAGAAAACCATTTTTAGATGAAGAGCTGGTGAAAAAAAATTTTATTTTAGTCATGGAAATTTCGTTAGAAAAAAATTTTTTTGTTAGGAAAAAATTTTTTCAGATAATATTTTTAGGGGCATCTGGCTGGCTAGTCAAAAGAGTATATAACTCTTGATCTTGGGCTTGTGAGTTCAACCCCTACATTGCCTACAGATTTACTAAAAAAAAAAACCAAAACTTAAAAAAAGATGTATTTTTAAAATGAAGGATCGATTAAGCTAATAATGGCCTACAGAATATAAGACATAACACACCAAACATTAACTGATTCAATGATTCAATATTTTTAAAATTACAAGTACTTTTCTTTAGATGTAAAGGAATTGTACAATAAAAGAGAGAAACTTTCTCATGAATATTTGATTTGGGTCACATTTTATCTCAAAGGATTTCCAAATTTACAAAAAAATGCTATCAATTTATGGCCAAATATCCATGGCATAGATATTTTTGTATCTTCTATGTCTGTTGAAGAATTTAGTGAGATGTGGAAAAAAAATTCTACAATAGATGGTTTTCATGAGGTTAAAAAGCCTGAAATTTATTGAAATTTTAAAACAAAAAACTAACGTTTTGGGGCATCTGCCTGCTCAGTCAGTAGAGCATGCAACTCTTGATCTTGGGGTTCTGAGTTCGAGCCCCATGGTGGGTAGTGCTTACTTTAAAAGATAAATAGGGTTGCCTGGGTAGCTCAGTGGGTTAAACAATGGACTCTTCTTGATCTCAGCTCAGGTACCGATCTCAGGGTCATGAGCTCATTCAAGCCCCATGTTGGGCTCCACACAAGGTGTGGAGCCTACTTTTTAAAATAATTAATTACTTAACTAAAATGTGGA